TATCACATAATGAAGTAAAAGTGGTGTACGGTTAGCATGCGTTATGTCGCATACATATGCCCCGTCATGCGAATGTCAGAGCTTCTGCAATAGGTCATCCACATATAACTCCGTCTCCTGCATACTTCTCTCGAGCTCGCAGTCTTCGATTACGGATGCGAGGAGGAGCATCCATAATTTGGCTATTAGGTGTTTCTTGTTGTAGTATTGCTCATGCAGTGGTTGGGACTCTGGTAAATCTCTGACTATCAGTATATCTTCTGCTGTCATTACATGGTCCACTTCTACGTCTTTTTCGACTCCAGGTACTTCGCCGTTTTCCGGTACTGTCTGCTCCTCGATATTTTCTAACAAATGTTGGAACCACTCCTCCTCACCATATATATTCATAAGGTCATGTTGTTGTGCAACCCATTGTCTCCACAAGTCCAATTTCTTCATCGGCACGGTTGCCGCCATGTGATCACGCAGGTATTTTTTCCATTCCGCTTTTAATTGCAGAAACCATGGCTGCGTCGTGCAGTCCTGCAATAGATGCCTGTTGCGGTCAATCCAGGTAATCCAATTAGTGTGGTCGGGGGTCGCGCATTCATTCCGCGGGGAGAAGTGCGGGTCGGGTTCTGTATCTAACTGTATGTTTTCCATACAACTGCATGGATCTGGGTCGTCTTCATTCGGTGCACAAGGGTCCGTTTGTAATTGTATAGTTTCCATACAACTCCATGGATCGGGGTCATCTTCATTAGGTGGAGATGGATATGATCCGGAGTCCATCGGTTGATCCCGGGTTAGTGTTTCCAGGGTTGTCGAATAATCGGTTGTGGAATCGTCAGTTGTCGAATGGTCGGTTGTCGAATGGTGGGTTACGGCACCGTCGTTTGGGGTAAAAAAATCCGAGGAACTAATGCAAGTAGTCGGGTCCCGCTCCAAGTCGCGCGCAAACTGCTCCACGAGTATGTGCAAATAGTCGTCTTTGACGTTGTCCCATGCGGCCGCTTCACATTCGTTGAGCACTTCTAGATGTAGCTCGATAATCGTGCGGCGATTCACGTGTGGCGGGCGTTGTCCGCGGCGTTCGGCAGCAGATGCAGGCCGCCTATCCCTAATCATGGTGTACCCGTAATCGTGTGGCGGTAGTTCGCCGCGTTGTAAATGCTCCAATATTTCTTCGTCTAGTGGCGGTGACGGCACGTCACGAACGGTTCGATATGTTCGTCGTCGTTTGGCGAGGTGCGCAAAGTACTAAGCAGAAAAAGGGGGGTAAAGAGGAGGGTGAGGACGGTAGGATAAAAGGAATGAACACGGCTGTAGCAGTACATTTGTGTTAGAACGATCATATATTGAAGCCGGTTGGGATGTGCTGAGGTATAAACATCCTGCGCATGCGGCATGCCCGGATTGCCATATATACTTACCTTCCAAAGGGAATAACTAACGACGGCGACGATGACGGCGGACAAGAAGACGAGTGCGGGAGTAGTGGCGGTAAGGACGTCGGCGGTTAGATCGGGGACATCTGGGGTCACTTTCCCGGGACCTGGGTTGTCAGTCGATGAGCCCGATACGGTTTCGCCTGGGGTTGGTGGTGCAAAACCGCCTGCTGCGCCCCCTACGTCAAGTGCCTTTGGAGCCAGATCAAGTTCGAACTGTCCACTTCCCCCTGTTCCCCCTGCATGGCCACTCCCCTGTGCTTCAACATTAGCATCAACATTCTTCGTCCCATTGTCCGCGCCGCTGCCGCCGCCGGGGCTGCTTCCCGCTTGATCTGGGTTCGGGTTCTGGTTTTGGTTTGGGTGGATTGAGAGGAGGGGGGTCATCGTTACCGCCATCGACGATGGTATTCTTCTGGTCGGGGTCTTCGGGTTGTACACCAGCACCAGTGCCCAGTGCGTCTGGATTCGATGCTGTGCTTTCGCTTGCGGACCCGGATTCCCCTTTAGGAGGTATCTGCTCATTAGTAGTTACCTCTGTATCCTTCTGACCTGGTGTTGTTGGTGCTGCTGGGTTTGCTGGTGGTGCGGCCGGTGCTGCGGCTGCTGCATCCGTTGTTGCTGAGGATCCCGAGTTCGTTGTACGTCCTGTAGCTTCCTTCTCTATGAGTGCAAGTATGGGGGGCAGAACAAGAATGCGATAAAACTGAGCTTTGAGGTGCATGGTTAGGTTGGCCATGCTCGGTTGCATGGTTGCTCATGCTGGACCACACCGTGATGACCAGCGCGCGTCCGTGGATGGTTGACCACGGTGCGGTTGGGACGGCGTGGCAGGTGGCACTCCGGGAACAGACTCTGTCTCTGCCACACACAACACAACACACACAGTGTGGGTGTGTGCACCTGTCGACGTCTACGTCGCTCTATGTGTCGCGGCGGCTTATGCGCCCCGGTGGCGCTCTGCCACGCTCTGCCGCCATCATTCTCATTCGACGGTGGGTTTCTCTCGCTCTCTGCGGTGTCTCTCCGTCTCTCTCCGCAAATTGTTGTTTCTGTTGTGCTCGTTGTTTTTGTTGTGGATATGCACTCAGGACACTACCTTCGCTCGAGTCCTTGGACCTCTTGTCACAGTCATCATCGTTTTCCGACGTAGGTGCGAAGGAAAGGACGATGCTTGATGTAGCACCGGAGATGCCCATGCCTGTATTTGTTTCCTTAAATACCTGAGGCCCCTTTGTACACTTACCTTTGTTGTCTGCAACCTGATCTGTACTGGTGCCTCCCGAGGATTGATCTTTTCCACTACTGTCTCCTGCTGCCGGTGCTGCAGCCGGTGGTGACTGTGGTGCTGCTGCTTGTCCAGCGGCTCCCGTGGCCGCACCTGATGTGGGTTGCGCTGGCGCCGGTGCTGGCGGTGGTGGTTCCTCAACGGATCCATCTGATCTGGCAACTGGCACTGTGGCAGGTGTGGAGGGTGTTGCAATTTTCCCTGTTCCTTTTGTTGTTTCCTTTGGTTCTTCTGCTGCCGTTTGTCCTAAGAATGATGGTAATATAGGAGCATATGGGTGTGTAACACTTGCCGGATGAATGGAGAGATGCAGGGGGCACACTCGCCGGACGGAGGTGGTAGCAGTACAACTTTTATTTGTTGTTGCCGTCATCTCGGGCGCTGCATCCGGCGACCCGCTGCATCCCTCATGTCGTCTCCGGTGCCTCGTCGCCGCTGCCGCTACCGCTGCCGCTACCGCTGCCGTCGTGGCCGCTACCACTGTCGTCGCTACCCACCTCGAACACACACGCACACCTCGATTGAAGCGCATCGTATGCTCCGCACTCGTTACGGCTGCACTTGTCGTGGACACCGCTCAACCGAAGTCGGCCAATGGACGTCGTTTGCTGTGCTGTTGTCGCCGCGTGTGCGTGTTGTTGTTGGCGGAGACGTCCATGTTCGGCAGTATGCGGCCGCGTATTCGTGTGCGGCCGTACGCGTATTTGGCCGTGTGCGGGGCGTATTCGTGCTTTCTCCCATCGGTCCTTACCTGCGGGTACCGTGGGTGCTGGTGTACCGCTGTCCACAGAGGTCGATACTATGGCCTTACTGTCCTCATCGTGGACATTGCTACTGGAGACGTCTTGGATAGACTTCATGCATTTTTCACCTTCCCGCGCGCATTGCGCAACCCCCTTCTTCACCTCCTCAACAAGTGTCTTCAGTCCCTTGCCTAATTTCTCTAGAATTAACCTCTCCTCAGTCGTGATCTCAATCTGTTCATTAGCTGCCTTTGTACCCGTTGTGGCCCCCCCAAGTTCCTGTATCCCTCTCGTACATATGCCTTGTACTTCTGGACCTTCAAATCTTTTAGTCAACTCCTGGTTGCTCTGTAACCAGTTCTTAATCATCTTCTCCATGTCAAAATTTCCTATTGTTATTTGTGTAAACACTCCCTGTCCACATGTACCGTCGGTTATTAAACCACCCCCTGTCCCTGCTTCCATCTGTTTCATGGTGTACCATGCATTATCTATTCCCATTTCACTTCTGCATGGAGATGCCAGCAATATGGACATAAATATATTTACTATTGCGCACCTTATATGTTCCTTCAGCTCATCATCTTTAGTAACCGCTGTATGCATGGGCCGCATGTTCCAACTGTTCTCATTCATGAAAAATAATGCTCCTGACATGAGTGTGCACATAAGTCTATCTGCGACTTTCTTGGCCACAGGTGTGCCTGGTCGCCTTAGACTTTGATAACCCGTGTTCAAACAATTAGCTGCATATTGCTCTATGTTCTCGTCGTCCAAATGTTCCATAAACTTCTGCAGTTGTTGCTCTATATCCTGCCATAAACTTTGCTGCATGGAGCATAAGGAATATATATGTGTGTGCAGAATTGGCCACATTAGCTGTCTCTTGCATGTTCATATGTGCCCACACTGTTGCACGTGCTGCACGTACGGTATGTGCGCATTGTATTATTAATATAGAATTAGTGCGCGGTCGCATGCGTACAATTATATATACAGGCATGTATGCATACTATCATATATAGAGGCGGTTATAATTACACCACGCCCCGCGGTCTCAATCTTAGTAAATTACCGTATACAGTTCCTTTTGATCCACTAGACCCCTCTTCCGCACATAATGTACTAATAAAGCCCCTAACCTCTTATAGTTCATATTGTCGTTATCATGAATTAATAGAGTCCAACGGATGAAAGCATTATCTCTCAGGTAACGGCTTGAGTATAATATGGGCACAATGTTCTATTACATATTATGCAGATTCTGAGGCAATGGAACATGTCTTGCATTATAGGGTCCCCGCGGAAACATCTCACATGAACAAAATATCCATATTTGATGTTAGTCACACATCCTACAAAGCGTGGGGTTTGGAAGAAGGAAAAAAAGAAATGAAAAAATCGACACGCGAAAAAACAAGTTAACGAAAAACAACATACTATGCACATGCACAACAGCATCATTTACACAATACAGAGAAGACTGTCTTTGTTTCACACATGAACAATATCCCCCCCCGTTTAGAAGAAAAAACAAGGAAGAACAGCCGAGCAAAAAAAAAACAAAAAACAAAGGAAACACCAGGACAATAGTGGACAACGTCATGAATAACGCCCCCCGCTCCCGCCGTTCTACACCGGTCTCCACTAAACGCCTGTCACACACACTGTCTCTGCGTACACAAAAAAACCGCAGGAATAACAACATGAATGTCTTCTTCCGTCGTTGTTGCGGTCGTTGCGGGTCCTTGTGCGCCCTCCCACATAATATGTGTGTTCCTTCCTGCGCCCACTCTCTGGATCCGTGCGAGGCTGCGTCGGCGGATCGTGCACTCAAAGCAAGTACTCTGAGACAATCTCTGCTCCTTCTTACACGCGGACAATCCTGCGTCGAAACGCGTTACGCGGACAATCGCGTTTACCCGGCCGCGTTTGCTCGGACAGACAATCGTCCTCCTTCTTACACTCAAGACCATTCTTACGAGGACGGCGGAAGGAAGAACAAGTACAGTTTGTGTATTTATCACGACTTCCAAGAAGCGTTGACGGAGAATCGTTGACGGAGAAGTGTTGACGGACACAGCGTGACCCAGAGACGGGGTGACGAGAGAGGCGTTGACGGAGAGAAGCGTTGACGGAGAAGCGTGGACGGAGAGGCGTTGACGGAGAATCGTTGACGGCAGAAGCGTTGACGGACAACGCGGTGACGGAAGAGGCGTTGACGGAAGAGGCGTTGACGGAGACGGGGTGACGGAGAATGGGTGACGGACACGGTGTGACGGCGAGGCGTACACGGCGACACGGCGTTGACGGAGAAGGTGTGACGAGGAGACGGGAGGTGTGTGTATATTTTTTTTTGTTGTTGTTGTGTTATTGAGCGTCCGTAGTAGTAGTAGTAGTAGTAGTAGTAGTAGTAGTAGTAGTAGTAGTAGTCGTACTGTACTTTTTCTAGGAAGGGAATAAAAAGTGTTAAATATGGCTGAAAACAAGTACGAGAAAGAGATAAGGGATTTTCTACGGGCATGGGATTATTTTCTTCGTAGATGGGGCATCCAGGACGGCCACAAATATTGGGTAAGTTCAATTGTACACAACATTCCGTAGGAACAGAAATAGTGCACTTTGCAGAGCAATATATATACATGGGAAATTGGAACCTGTATGTGTGCGCACACTATTTATATAAGTGTCGTATAGTCAACAACGTATTGTGAGGAAAGATATGGCACACGGAGAATGCATGCGTATGAAAAGACCTGTGGTTAAATGTAGATGAATTTAAGGGAAGCGCGCACACACAACATGCACAAACATATATGCATTATTGCACTCGCAGAAACAATTAATGCGTGAGGTTAACATTATCTTCAAGGACGTAACACAGACGATCACCCAAGGTAGCGGCGAGAACGCTGGCATTTGTGGAAGTATATATACGGAATCGGGGCAGTCCATGTGCAAGAGCAGGTGTCATGAAATTGCAAGCCTTATGCTATACATAAAGGGATATAGTTATCAGACCAGAACACGCGATTGGAAAAAAAGAGGAATGCAGCAAACAACCGGAGAGAAGTTTAAGGAATACTTAAGATGTATATTGGCGAGTGAGGTTTTAGTACAGGTGTATGGGCAAACTAGTGACCACCAGGAAGTAATAAAGAAAGTTAAGGAAGAAATGGAGAAAACGACTACAACAGGGACACAGCAATATGAGCCAGGGGTGTGTGAGGACCTGGATTATGGACAGGCCATATTCGGATTACGTGGTATTGGACCAAGCATAAAGACTAAGCTGGACGACTGGAACAGCGGTTTGGCAGGAGGCCACGCAGGAAGTGCACGCGTCACAGGGAAGAAGTGTGCTTGGCCACAGCAAGACACAAACCAGAACAGTGCACAAGCATGTAATGCACAGGAGGGGCACGTGCTCAAGGATCATTGGCTCATGGGGAAAATAAAGGAGTGGACAGACGGTGCTCTCTATCTGCGGGTGACAACGTTGTTAGAGCAAATGAAGGCAGGACGCATGCCCGGCGGGAAATGTGCAATAGAGAAGAACATAAAGGACCAGATCAAGAAAGTGAAGGACACAGTGAACCCTGCCGCCGCGAAACCCGCCCCGGCCAAACCTGCACCTGTTGACAACGGCAGCCCTGCCAAACCAGTAGCGACGTCGAAACCGGCAACGGTGACACCGGGATCGGGGACGACGACGACGTCGTCAGCTGGTGGTGGTGGTGGTGGTAACCCTGGTGCTGCCGCAGGGAAGGAGAAGGGGAAGAAAGGCGGAACAGGCGGGGATTGTGACTGGAAGAGCATATTGGAAGAGGACCGGAGCCAAGTATATGTGCTGGGTACTTATGATGTAAGTTAAAGTAAACCCAGACGGGACACGAAAAACACACAGAGAACATAAGGTGCATAAACAGAATGTACTTATAGCATATATATGAATTTGGGAGTATACATGTATGCGCCCGCATAGCACATACGTGAAATATGAACACGCGCATTCATGTGTTCGCTGTGTACATAATGCAGAAAGAAGAACTGGAACGCATGAAGACGGTGTTGCAGCAGTTTATTCATTACATGGAAAACACGGAAGACCTCGCGGATGCCTTAGGGGCGAATTGTGCAAATTCTGGTTGGGATGATATCTCATCACATGGGCGTTATCACATGGGCCAAACAGTAGCAGATGTCGTACGGTGCCGGCTCATGACACTTGCATTACACTTCGCAAACGGTGATAATGTAAACGGGAAACATGAGGCAGTGAAGCGCACAGTTACGGATGCAAAGGAGCACAGACTCAGGTGTGAAGTAGCAAATACTTTTGGGTATATACTGGAAAAAAAATATTGCGACCTCAAGACACCATGGAAAAGAGGTATAAAGTATGCCTGGAAAACAGTGCTAAAAATGGGAGACCAAGGCGGTCTCCCATCCGACGGTCCCGTTATGAAGAGAATATGCACAGAATGCGGGTATGATATTGAGAAACCTGTAGTGAGAGTAGTAAATGGAGAAATGGCAGAATGGTTACTGCGGGAAGGAAGACTCATGGACCAAATTGGACACATGCAGGGCAGCGCGCCGTGCGCTATGGAGTGGAAGAGGTATATAGCACGTAAGGGTGTTACAGACACAGTCAACGACATTAGCAAGAAGCTGCCTGAGGTAAAGCAAACGGAGGAAAAAGTAAGGACGCAGACGAAGACAGCTTTTGCCGAGGTTACAAAGATAGTGGACCAGAAGATTAAAGAACTAGCAGGTAAGAATACGAATACACACACACGGTGCTACACATACGGCCCGTACGGTACAGATACGGATGGCAAGAATATGGATGCCACCACGACAACGCACACGCGGCGGAACAGCATGTAGCGACGACGAGCGGACAGGACGCGGGCTACACCGGAGTTGAGATGACGGCGACGAGGGACGGCGACAAATAAAAGTGTACTGCTACCATCGCAACCCAGTCCACCGAGTACGCAGTCCACCGAGTACGCAGTCCACCGAGTCCACCTCGACCCACTGCATCGACCCACTGCATTGAGCCGGACCCCCACCCTGCCGCTATGTGGCCACACCGTCCCGCCCCTTCTTTCTGTACCACTTGTGTCCTTTGTTTTTTTTATCATCTTTCTCATCCATATTTCTTCCGTTCCCCATCTTCGGTAAACCCACTGCAGGACCCAAACTCGAGGATACCGGAGGCGCCACACAACCAGGAGCAGGAAGAGCAGATGACTCAGCACCAGGAGACCCGGTAGCGAAACCACCAGGACCCGGATCGGCACCACAAGTACCGGCATCTCCAGTATTACCAGCCAGACCACAAGCACCTCCAGCAGGGGACACGGGACAAGGAGAATCAGCGGACGGACCAGGTAAGGGACAAGCGACATCTACAGGAACGGGACCAGGACCTGGACAACAACCCCCACCTCCACCACCCCCGCGGAATGCTTCTGCGGACGCCCAGAACGGGAAGAAAGCAGACCACGCAGGTAAGTGTGGAAGTAAACCTACAGTTTCCGTGACCCAGAATGCAGGCAGCGGCCTCCCTGCTTCTTCGTCAGAGACGCTTGTCTACCTTGGAACGAGTTCCGGAGCTGATGATGATTGCGACAACAAGCCCAAAGACTCGGGACCAGGTAGTGTCCTGAGTGAATATCGACCACAAAATCACACAGAGCACACAACACACAGACATCCACAATTTCCGCAGAGACAGCGGCAGCGCGAAAAACCACACGTCGAATGAGAATGAGCGGGACGCAGAGCGACGGCGGGCACAGCGCCGGAGCGATGGGTCGGCCGCGGGTGACGTACAGACGTCGACAGACATCGACACACTGTGTCTGTGTGTTGTGTGTGGGAGAGACAGAGAGTCTTTTCCCGGAGTGGCACCCTGCCCCATCGCCCCCCTACCCGCGTCCGTCTCGTGTGCCCCATCCCGTGTCATGCCCCGCCGTCCCCGCGGCACCATGTGGCCAACCGTTATACCTGTCCAACGATCGGTTGAAACCGTGTGGCCAGCCGTCCATCCATTCAAAGTTCAGTTTCATCATCTTGCACTTTTCCCTCTACCTCCATGTGCAGATAAGAAGCCTGAAGCGAAAGATGCTACAGCAGAGGGTCCTGGAGGGACTGAGCAGGGTGGGGTGGGTCCTTCTACTCCTTCTGGTCTCTCGCCTGCACCAGGTCAGGAAGATGTTCCACCTGGTCAAACTGCTCAACCAAATCAAGAAGGTCCCAAGCTTCCTGCTCCTGATCAGCCTAGTGTGGACACAACCTCGGTGACCACTGTAACGGGGACAAATGACGGGGGATCTGAGGACCCATCAGTTACAGGCCCTGACCAGGACACTACCGGTCAAGGTAGCGCCGTCGATGGAGCAAGTGATGGCGCTACCGGTCGCACCGTCGATGGCGGTAACGATGACCCGCCTCCTCTCAATCCACTCAAACCAAAACCGAACCCGAACCCCGATCAGGCGGGGTCGAGCGGCGAACCGCCGGCAGCAGGTGGTGGAAGCGGAGGGGGTGGTATGGGAGGGGACCTCGGTCAAGGGACTTCCTCTGGACCCGGCGCTACTGGTCACCACACTCCTAGTCCTGTTGCTTCTCCCGGAGGCAATAATGTACAAAGTAATGGTTCCAATGCTACAAATGCGAACACTGAACCTGGTGTAGATTTAGACTTTAAACCACATGCACATCATATACGGGGAGGCATATGGACCACATGGAACACCCGTCTGACCAGTGGGGACAACATCTAAGGCGTTTGATGATACTATCACCCCCATTATTACTGCGACAGACATCTTCCTTTCTTCCTCTGCTCTTATCTTCGTTGCATCCGTCACTTCCCTTATCGTCCTCTATTCCCTTTGGAAGGTAAGCGCACTCACGCACACACACGCAACCCACAACGCACAACCACACAACCACACAACCACGCACAACGCACAAGCACGCACAAATATAACCGAGTGGAAAATGGACCAAAAACCGTTGCCATTCGCCATTCCACTGCTCCGTCCCATGTTCGCATAAGGAACTCTAACTTACTGTACACTATGTGGATGTTACTCCCTACAAAGAACAAAATAATAACTACTAGAGAGGTGCATCCCTATATGCGGATACATTGTACATTGGAGCCAACTGAGGTTGGGCTCGTGCGACACAATATAGTAGATACATGCGTACACAGAGTGTACAGTATATGAATGTATGATGGTATACATTCTACAGTCGTATGCCTACTCCTGTAATTGTAACGAATTATTATAAAAAAAAAAAACAGAACAAAAAAAAAAAAGCACTTAACCCTAAATCATGGGACCTTTATGTTTCCACAACATACATCATTCTCTTCCATGCTCCACCGCGGGGCACGCGTACGACCCCCTTATTTGTTAATGTAGTGCTCAATGAACTACACGCCCCCAGCCCGCTATATTATGCAGCAAGGAAGCATTAAATACGCGGGGTCCACGAAACTTCCTTTAAATCCGTAACATAATGCATAAGCCTACTTGTTCTGTCTCGACAATGCATATTACGCTATATTCCTCTTATGCGAACTGTTATATACATCTTAAATGATATATTTCATTTACATTATATGATAACATGTTATAAACTAGGAAAAATACAAGATACATCACGTGCACAGGAGAAAATGTAAACTTAGAAAGTGTTTCATTTTAAACAGAACGACAAAACAGGAAGATTTGTCGGCAACAGGTAAGAATAGATCCTACATTCCCCCCTTTTTTTGCATACAAGTTATATAAGGAACAAAATAGGCATATAATTTCATACATAAAAAATATGTACAAATAGCGTAAAAAAAAGAAAAAAAACAAGCCTATAACCTGTTCTTATATATAAGAAAAAAAAAAAGTCAGAAAAAAAAAAAAAGTAAGAAAAAAAAAGGAGTGGATAAAAAAAGTAAGACTACATCCTACATTCCCCTATGGCTTACAAGTATATAAGGACCAAAAGAGTAATACAATTTCATATGAAAAAAGGAAAAACAGTGAAAATAGAGTAATGTTCAAACAATCCCCTAGCTTGTGCATGATAGAAACAAGAACAAAGACAAAAAAAAGGGATAATAAGGGTGCATACATGCAAAAAAAAAGGAAAAAATATGGTAGTTGCACATATAAGATCCATAGGTATAGGGGAAAAAACGAAAAACAACAAAGCAAAAAAAAAGAAAAGAAAAAAAAAGAATAATGCTATAAATGTGCGCACATATTAAAAAAAAAAAAGAGAGAAACAAAAATAATTATAATAAAAAATATATGTTAGAAAAAAGTAAAAAATAATTGAATAGTGCGCAAATTATTTGGGAAAAAATAGGAAAAAAAGGTAGTCACACAAATGATACTGTACATCATAAAAAAAAAAAAAGAAAGAAAAAAAAAGCAAAGAGACAATCCTATCATATTTGCGCATCGTAAAAAAGGAAGGAAAAAAAAATAAGAAGGAATCATACATGTATATATAAAGAAAAGGAAAGGAAACCACCATATAATCCTGGAATGCACAAGCAAAAGAATAGCAATGGAGTGTCAACACAAATGCATATAACAATAATCATATAATCCCCTTCTTTATAAGTACAAAGAAATACATTTCTTAGGAATCTACTTTACGCTGAAAAAAAAAAAAAAGAAGTAAAGAACAGAATGATGTTCCCTGTGAAACTTTCCATATTCAGCATCATATTGTACTCCTGTCAATATCCTGAACACGTACGACCCAATAATTAACGTTTCCGTAGAGTGGGCATTCCCATTTATGATTATGATGTTATTCGTGCTCCTAACAATTGAAAATTCATCTTCCATTCTTTTCTTTTATCTGAATAATTGTGCATTGTATAACGCCCCTAACACATCATTCCCCGTTTTTTTGTACCTGTTAGGCGAATGAACTTGTCACATCATGGAAACATTCGGCCGAGCAACATGACACTGTCGGTATCAGGATGCGTAGATTATTAACCGTTGAAGTGGATATGCAAGCACCACCACAACCAAATAATACATTACTGCTCAGTCCTGGTAAGGGTCCACATAAAAAAGTCGCATCGGGACAAAAGCCAGGAAAGTCCGGTAAACCCAAATCCAAGGTTGGTGAAGCAGGGTCATTGCCACCGTCCCCACAGGATGGTGCACCAAGTGAACATGAGGAAAAGAAGCATGGAGGCAATGCGGTGAAGAGTGCAACGGATAAGCAAACACCAGAACAGAATAAATCCCCCGTTAATCCCAATGGAGGTCCCCTTAAAGAACCTGTGCTTGGCACATATTCCGGAAAATCACAGCCCAAAGCTGCATCGGAAGGTTTACAAGTGGCCTCACAAAATAAGGCACACATTAAAGAAACGAGCGAGCAAACTAGGGGACTGTGTAGTACACTAGCGCGAACTTTAAGTAGAAATAAATGGTGGATCCCCGCTACATTGGCCGTTCTTGGTGTCTATATAGCAACGCTGCCTCACCTTCCCAAAGCTGGGAATTTAGAAGGATGGATTGCGTCTTTATTAATAGTTATCCCAGGCATCGCACTTACGCTTCTGGTTGTGCTATTTTGGTCTAAATGCCGGAAGGGAAGATCAGGAGTGCCCAAGAAAGCTCTAAAGGGCAAAATTGCATCAGAGGCAGATCAGAAGCCCAAAGCACCTAAGACACCGGAGATACCCGACAAGCAGGACGCACCTAAAACGGACGGAGCATCGGAGAAACCGGAGACACCTAAGAACCCGGAAGCACCTAAAAAGGCCGGAGAATCCGATAAACCGGAAACACCCAAAGAATCGGAAGTATCTAAGAAACCGTAGGCAGCTAATAAAACGACGGTGCCCGTAGAATCGTAAATACCTTCATTATTCTACTTTTGGTAAACAACGTCAATGTTATAGTATGTTCCTACACATGTATGAGACCGACATTTTGTTGTATGATATTCTGTACTATTTCTATGATAGAGTGTATTCACAGTTTTGTAGCATTTACTTTTATTGTTCCGCTTTGTACATTATAAT